CTGTGCTATTTGGTTATTTTAAAGAGGCGACCTGGCCACAAAAGAAGTGGCTTATCAAGTGGAAATGTATAGCAGCCAAATACTCGAAACGCATATATTATAAAAGCCCAGCATTCCGCTTTCCCGTTTGTCCATCAACTAAATTATGAGAGCCTTTCAGAAGGTCTGAAACAAAAAGTTATGGAAATATTACGTATGTGGGAGTAAAAAGTTGATCCAACAGGTTTCCAAAAATTGTCGACGCCCCCCCTCCCCCCCCCCACCCTTTACATACAATAGTAGTATCTGCACACATTGGGTAGGGGGGGGGGAAGAAGAAGAGGACATCAGTGGGGGCGACGGGAGAGGCACGAAGTGCCGAGAAGCCCTCCGCTGGAGCTAGGCCGCCGACATTCTAGTGCTTCTAAGTGTGGACGGTGAAAACCGGAGGACCCAGAGAAAAATCCACACGATCACGGGTAGAACACGTAAACTCCAAATATACAGCAGGCGTCATGTTCGGGATCGAACCCACGACCTTCTGCATACCAGGCGAGGGAGTCAACATCCCAGCACTGTGGTGCTCTCATTGGGCCACCTAAAGCACCTTTGAAGGCCACACCTGGCGTGTTAGGACGCCAGTTGAATGAAGTAGTGTCACCAGATTTCAAAATACAAAAAAAATATCTGCATGTGAATATGAATACTCACTAATCAACCAGTCTAGTATACAAGGCATCACTCCATACATTGCTTTCAGCTGGAAAAATCGTATCATACCTCTGTACAGTAAAATGTCCACATATGAAATGACCGAGTGATTCCAGTGGGATAACACCAGATTTGCAACATATCACCTGTATGATTCTGGATCATGATTCATGGTAAGTAATCAATTGCTTTATTTTCTTAATTTTGCCATCTCGGATGTGCTATTTATCGTGTATTTTTTCTGTCGCGTTTTCCAAGTTTTGTAAACACCATTATGCTAAATGTAACATTCGCCAACCATTTGCATATAATTTGCAGTAATGATAATTAATCGATTCTTACATACGTCGATGGATGTGTCGTGAGCATACGTATACTGTACATTTTTTAAAACAAATTAATCAATGCAGTACATACCAAATTATGATTTAGAGTACGGAACCTTGCAGAGCTAAGATTCTTCGTTTTTTTTCAGTCACCTGTCATTAAATTAGGTCTCGACTGCAGCCAATTGATGGTGCCAATGACAGCACTAAAATAGAAAAACAGTTAATGTAGCTCTTCACTTTATTTCACATAATTAATCTTTAGCTATGAAAATTACTGTAATGTTGTGATGAAACCCTCCATAGAAGAGCCTGTGAGAAGGTGCATTACCTCGTGTGGTGTTGTGAACTCTATCAGAGTAGCATGTGTAGATTCACTAGAGGTACGTTTGTAATCAATGAGAGGTGGCTGGGTGGCTCAGAAGCCATCGTTGCTAAGCTTGCGTCGCTGAGTTGGAATCTGCTGCTTGTGCTTAAAGCAGCTTCAAAAATGTCGTGTGCTGATGGACCCACCCAGGTCACAAATGACTGAGCAAAAAAAAGAAAACCATTGACATTTAATTGGGTTCTTCAATTAATTTGGATAAATCCTATTTCTGAAAATTAAAAATATAAACTTGAACCCTCCAAGCACCCCACACATGACCTAAATCACCATAAAAGCCCCAGCCTTCGTAACGAGAAACTACTTATTAGGGTTGACAACAGTCCTGGTATTCACAGAATCGTCCTCTTTTTACAAAGCTATCCTGGGAATTCTGTAATTCTGCACAGGGCATTAGACGTCTCTGTGCTTATCAGTTTACATGCACGGTAGTTCTCCCCTCTTTGTGATAGTGAAATATTCATTTTTTCTAATGTTGGTGTACTTCAGAGATGACAGCCCTGCTACTAATCACAATTTAGGGGCCGTCCATAAATGACTTCACGCACCTAGGGGGGGAGGGGGGGGGGGAGTCAGACATTTGTGACGATGTGTGAGGAGGGTTGAGAAATGTGACGTCCCATCAAAATGCGCTACTTTAAATAAATATAGCCAATTTAAAGCGATTTGAAGGATGTTTTATTTATTGTGGGGGGCGGGGGGGCAGAGCTTTGTGACGTCATATTTGAGGAGAGGTCTGAATTTTTGTGACGCCGTGTGAAGAGGGGGGGGGGTCAAAAATCGTCCAAAATCGCGTGACGTCATTTATGGACGGCCCCTTACTATATTTACCCAAGAATGTCAGTGTGTAACGCGCGTGACGTCACTCCACGTTGACCAGCCTCCCCTCATTAATAATCATGAACAGTTCTTTCGGTAAAGTCACGTTGAAGGGAAACAATAAAATAATAAAACATATATAAAACAATAAAAATTATCACGACGTTTCGACCATAACACAAACGGTCGTCACCTGATTATTATTTTATTGTTTCCCTTCAACGTGACTTTACCGAAAGAACTGAGAATATGAATTACTGCAGTCACGAAAGCTTTAAATCAAAATCATGAACAGGTTACGTCCTCCACATGGACCCGCCCCTCATTAATAATAATTAACGGCTGACGTCACTCCACATGGGGGGGGGAGGCGCCTCCTCCCCCCTCCTTAGCGTCAACTTACAACCATCACTACAAAGGCAGAACCCTCACGTCACGCGATCTCCGTAACGCTATTGAGACAAAGACGTAAAAAAAATATTTTTATTTTATTTCATTTAAAGATTATAACCTTTCAATTGAATAAGTCTGTGTCACCGCGGCCTTACAAATTGCACACGAATGAATGCAATGAATATCACGTCGCGGTTTGTGCTTTTCGCTTGCAAATTTCTGAATTACTGCAATACAACCGTCCTTGGACGGGCAAAAGGCTAGTTAGGTTTATAATTGGGGGAAAGCACGAAGACAAATTTTAAGAGAAACATTAAAAAACCCCTCTCGAAATCTTACAGGAGTGGATTGACCATGGCTGGCTGATGAGTATATGCTTTGTCTGTTTACATATTGGTGCAATAATTACTCGAAACCCATGTTGTGTCTGTAAATTAGTTGACCGAGCCAACTTCAATAACAGAAAATACATTTTAACGTTAATATGTCTGGACACTGTTTTCAATATATTCTGTAGTACCTTTCTTTTTGCTCTAATTTCAATTTGGTTAATCTTTTTCTCTAACATATGCTGGACAGTATTTGTTTATTTTTTTTTGCTCTGATTTCTAATATTTTGCTTAGTTTGTAGTACAGAACTTTTTCATGTTCATGATTCAATCAAGTTCGGTACAAATGAGTCTATATCCTGGTCTCTTGAGTTCTCATCTGATTCAGCAGAGTAAAACTTGAGCGCTGGATGATTTTGATTATTAAACTATAAATTGCCCTACCCCAGGGGGCACCAACCAAAATAACAAGTGCCATTTTTTTCGAATTCACACAAAAAAAAACCTCAGTATTTCAAGAGCCGCAAAATGCACGTGAATACGAGACGGTGGTCCTTAATAAACAGTGTCACGAAGCAGTCCTTAAAGAGCTGCACGCGACTCTGGAGCCGAAGGTTGAAAACCACTGCCCATAATAAACTGGACTTCCATGGTAAACTGGATTTCCATAGTAAACTGGACTTCCATAGTAAACTAGACTTCCATGGTAAACTGGACTTCCGTGGTAAACTGTATTTTCATGGTAAACTAGACTACAAAGGTGAACTGGCCCTCCCTAGTCAATTGGACTTTCATGGTGAACTGGACTTCCATAGCAAACTGGACTCCCATGGTGAACTGGATTTCCATAGTAAACTGGATTTTCATGGTTAACTAGACTACAATGGTGAACTGGCCCTCCCTAGTCAACTGGACTTTCATGAACTGGACTTCCATAGTAAACTAGACTCCCATGGTGAACTGGATTTCCATAGTAAACTGGATTTTCATGGTTAACTAGACTACAATTGTGAACTGGCCCTCCCTAGTCAACTGGACTTTCATGGTGAACTGGACTTCCATAGTAAACTGGACTTCCATAGTAAACTGAACTTCCATGGTAAACTGTATTTTCATGGTAAACTAGACTACAATGGTGAACTGGCCCTCCCGAGTCAACTGGACTTTCATGGTGAACTCGACTTCCATAGTAAACTGGACTCCCATGGCGGTCAGTCAAGTCCTTTAACAGAGCCGCGCCGCTGGCAAGCTCCCCCTATTATTTGCTCGACCACCACCGTAACGTGGAATGAAGGTAACGAACACACAAATAAGGAATATTTTTAAAACACTTTTTTTTTAACGCGCTTTTATGAAATGTATTAGTAATGGCAGAACTCCACGACTCCAGGAAGTGGCCCCGAAGCTTGCCACAACGTAAGGGACCGTGGCCAATTACAGCCAACGTTAGTTAAGTGTGGACAATTAGACCCAAGCCGAAACATAACATAAAAAAATTATCTTTAAAATATATTTTTATTTGTTATGATAGAATATAGTATTGTCATCAGTATGACATAAGTATACCAAGCTTGCAGTCGATACCACATTGGGAAGTGGGTTAAAATTGAGTTACAAGATCTGAGGATACAACAATGCCAACAACAGACAGAGTGAGTTAATAAATTAATAACTGAAACCGTATTCTTGGTTCTTTCGGTAAAGTCACGTAGAAGGGAAACTATAAATCAATAAAAATATAAAACAATAAAATTATCACGACGTTTCGACTGCAACGCAAGCAATCATCATCAGGTGTGAAAACCACAGCAAGAAAATTTGAACAAAAAGCGGCGGGGTTTTTTTGTTGTTGCAGTCGAATCGTCCTGAGAATTTTACTGTTTTATATTTTGATTACTTTACGTCGTGAGAATCTCATTGTTTTATTTTTTTTATTATTTTACGCCGTGAGAATGTTTTTATTTTATATACTTATTATTTTATCGTTTCCCTCCTACGTGACTAAAAGCGTGGTTAAAAACCGCCCTCTCCCATCTGACACCGCGCGGTTCCCGCCACGCCCATCCGAAGGCGAATAGCGAAGCGCTTCCGGTGCGCGGCCACCTCAACCTACCGCGCGAGAGTGACGCTGCCGGCCCCGCGGCTTCCGCGTTGGACGCGCTTCTCTTTAATTTTTGCTTTGCGTTTCTAGGGGGGGGGGATTTTTTTTCTCTCCTTCTAAACAAACAACAAAAAAAAGCCTGCGGAACACCGCCTCGTTTATTTCGTCGTCGTGTTCTTCTGCTCCAGACTCTCGACATCGTCCCCCTCCCCTCCCGAATAAAGGCGGCAAGATGATTAGCATGTGGAAAGTGCGCGAGTACTTGGACAAAGCGTAAGTGTCGCCGCCGCTGCGCTCCCCCTCTCCACCACCTCCACGTATGCAGGAAATGGCTGACCTCCCCTGCCGCCAAACGCGTCTCTCGTCTCGCTCTCTCGCTCTCTCTCTCGTACTCGCCTCTGCCGCCGTCTTCTTCGCCGCCGTTCATTAAGAAGAGCGCGGCGATTCGTGTTTTAATTGCCGTGGTGCCAGACGGGTGGAAATGTGTCTCCCTGGACACCACGACTCTCGCACACCCCCCCCTCCCCTCCACCCGGCTCACCGCCGCCATAGACACTCGTGGTACTTCCCTCGGCCGGATTTAGTGCCTCGTGGGCGGTAGGTCTTCTAGGAAAGAGATGGCGATTTAGGCCTTAGCTGGCCCGTTTACGAAGGCAAGGCCCAGTAAAAAAAAAAATCCGTTGCTGTCTTGTAGGCACTCTCTGTACCAGGTTTGCGTATCACAGGCTCGCACAGACTACGAGTGCGAAGTTGTGTCACTTGGGAAGAAGACTCGCAAATTCCGACCATGAACGCTATCGTCATATTGCTGCTTTGACGTTCAAATGAATGGGAATGGTTGTAAGCATGTCCACTGCGGTACCATAATGGCGCGCCTGATACGTGAAAGTAGATTTTATATAATCAATGGAACATTCAATATGTGTAGGACGGCATGGGACAGCCCAGGTAGTCATTGACGGTGATATTATTGGAATTTCTTTGGCAGGGATGTCACTAGCATGAAGTAATGGCGCGCCTTATACACGGTTTCTTTTGAATCATTAATGGTACATCCAATTCGTGTAGTATACTACGGGCCAGCCTCGGGAAGTAAATACAAGAGAAGACTTACATCTGAACGCGCATCTTAAGCCTGTGTCGTTATCCTCTTGTAGAATGCATAAGATATCAAACATGACTGGCTGCACCCCCCCCCCCCCATCGATCCCATCATATGACAAGCCATCACCACCCCAACTTAAGCTAATGAAGACTTAAGACTAAACCTCAATATTTCCTGAATAAGGCTAGCCTGTCAACACCGTTGTGTTTCAGTACAGTGATATTAATAACATAATCGTACGAGTTATTGTTATAGCATGTACATGTTCAGTAAAGCAGCAGCTGGTACTTCATTTTTATTTCCATATTTTAATTAAAAACGAGAGTACTGTATGTGGAAATACTTGAGGTGTATTATGCAACTAGCCAAACAAACATCTAGGGTGTTTTCGTGCGAGGTTTTGTGCTTTAAGCTCTGGATAAAGAACCAGGAAGCATAGTTTGACAATATACCTTTTTTCTTGGAAAAATCGAATTTTCAATTTTTTCTTGCTGTGGTTTTCCACACCTGATGATGATTGCTTGTGTTGCAGTCGAAACGTCGTGAGAATTATATTGTTTTATATATATTTTTATTTTATTGTTTCCCTTCTACGTGATTTTACCGAAAGAACCAAGAATATGAATCCCTGCAGTCACGAAAGCTTTAAATCAAAAGTTTACTGTACAGTAATTACAATTTGGGACATTTACCTTTATAATGAACGATCACTCTTCCTTCATTGCCTGACTATTACGTGTATTAAATGCCTTGTCATTCCCATTTGTTTTGTATTTTCCACTAAACGTGCAGTGTTTTCCACATTGACTAACAAATGCAAATTCCTCAATGAACCCATATGCATATACTTTACCAGTTTTGCATGAACGATAAGGTCTAAACCTCAGATGCTAAACGCATGTCGGTGATCGGGTGCGTTGACATTGGCCATTTCGACCTAAGTGAAGTCTATAGGACCGGAAGACTTTGAAATAAAATACTGTTACAGCACTTTATGGTACTCAGACAACTGGTAAGTGAACTCTTAGGTTTTGACGTGGAATGCATTGGGTGTGGCAAATTGGTCAACTCGTCTGCAGTAAAATTTGGTGAATTTTAAACGCGTTTGCTTTTTCATTACGGGCCTTTTTTTGCGTTACTCATCGTTGCATACACGTCAGTGCCCATAATCGGAATATTCGTAATGTTTTACCACTTCAAAAATAGCTTCCGAGGTTGTCGCAACAGGTGTATTTATTGCGCTGTTACATGGGATAATGAAACCAAACGAAGAATAGTGATTATAATATTAATAAAGTACGTTTTTACTATGGTCATTATTTACACTTCGATGCTCATGGTGTTAGTGTTTGTGTGTCTTGGACAACAAGAACAACATGATGGTCTTACCATTGCAAAATTAGTGGAGTTTAAATTGGTATACATAGACTCATATCCTCATTTTAGTATAAGAATGTTTATTTTTAAGTAATGGTTGTGTGCTTCCACGCATGTTTTAGTTGACAACATTGCTGTTGCTAGATTGCATAACTTAAGAGGAAGTACTGTAACCGTTGATGCCCGATACAATGTGAAGTCACATTATACAACCCACTTTACACACAGTATGGTGCTACTTAAAGGTTTTTGAGGGAAAAGGGTATTCCAAAAAATCTGAGCAGTTAAAAAAACTTCAGATATGATTTTTACTATAAATAATACTTTAACTGTGCATCATATCGCCAAGACTGGCAAAAAATGTACTCGTGTTTGCAAAGGTTAAGAGTTCTAGTTTTATTTTCTCACTTTTCCATTCATTTGTTGTTTATAATTTATTTGCAGGCTATTTGACCATGTCACTTTGCTGGTCAGTGCGGGTTGTTGAAGGCAAGCAGCATAGATGTGGGTGCAGAGATGTAGAATACAGTAATGGAGTTTTCTGCAATTCTACTTACCACTTAGTCCCTTTTACTTAACAATGTGTGGCAGTTCACTCATCCTTAAAGGCATTTGCTTAGGATATTACCTGCAGGACAAAGTAGCTTTTGATAGGAACCTGATAATGGGCACAGTCATGTGTATTAACACAAGTGAACGGACACAACGGCTATAAATTGAATGGTGTTCCCACAATTATTGTTTAGAGCATGTGACAATTTTGGGTTCAACGTCCACTTTGTAAGAAAGGAGTTGATGGCATAATTTGACGTCATGGACATTCATTGATAAATCAGGCAGTGTCTGATAGCCTTCTTCCAAGGTGCTCAATGTTTGAGTGAAAAATGTGTAGTTTCCCCCTTGAAAAATGTGTTTTGGTTCAAATAAACCACGTGCCAACATGATAATGGTTGATTATAGTTTCAATGTTTAAGCACGGACACAAAAAAACATGTGACTATATAAAGAGCTTTCTAAAAATTCACACATGCACATTTCAGTGGCAGCCAGTGTCTGTGGAATGTCGGGGTTGTCAATTAAAAGTAATTAATCTTTCTGAACCCAGTCCTTGCCACCTCACCACTACAGGTTTCCATGGTGACAACCATCAGGTGCATGCAGTGTGCACTATGAATACCAACAACATTGGTATTCACAAATACCAATGGAGAGCCTCAGGACTGAATTTGAGAAACACTGCCCTCGAAATAAGTCCACGTAACATTTTGGTGACGATCTGTAAAGCTGGCACTTTGGAGGCAATCGTCGGCGTCACACAGACAATTTCGAGAATTCCATACCCATTGAGCTACGGGGTGGCCAAAAGATATCACGCAAGTGGGTGTAGGAGTCCATCAGTGGCCGGTTTTAAGTGGTATCCCCTCTATACATGCCCTTTCTCCAGATTGCATTCACATGTAAAACACTTTTTAATCCAACATACTATGTAGAATGCACCTGATTCATCTTTTTTATTCGTGATACTGAGTGACATAACTGGATAAATATGCAATATTGTTTTTACTTCAGCTATTTGATGGTTTAAACTTAGTTTGTTTCAGCCAGGTGGATTGTCTGGGCTTAAGTTCTGCTCTTTACCCTCTCTTTACCCTCAAGTGACCATGCATTCTTTTTTCAGCTGGCACACTTATGCTAAAGAGACAAGTTTTCTAAAGTGCTCCTTTTTACATATGGAAGGCACAATCCTTGAGGAATTCTCTGTAAGCCTCTGCTATGCTTGAGCCGACCCATAGGACTTACCCTACATTGCTTAATTCCTTTTAATTTTGCACCACTTAAAGCACAGTTGTCACCCTTAAAACAGCATTTAGTCTCTAATGCAACCTCAGTGTGGATCTGCATTTTGTCAATGCAGCGTTTAAAAAAAAATCCATATGCAGTAATTCAGACTGCAGTAAGGGTACATTCGTAATTAATTGATATACTCAGATAGTCATGAAATTTGTTCTCAGTTTTTGCTTTCATTTTGTAATATTTTCAAAATAACTTAGAGTGACTTGAATTTTGTTAAATGTGACCATGGTCAGCAAACAAGTGCATGCTGGCCATGACTGTTATTTTTCTGCCCTATTCTCATTTTACATTATTTATATGATATGTGGTCCGAGACCAAGTGTTGAGGTGGCATGATGTGCTGGAATATGAAGATTAGGACATTAGATGTGACCAGAGAAGAGGCCCCGAATAAAAGTGCATGCACAAACAGTCTTGGCAGTGGACCCCATGCAATAATGGCTTGGAAGGAGAACACTACGTAATGGCATTAAATGACTGCTTTAATTGCCAATGAAAAAAATCAAGATACCCATTTAAGAATTGGCTACAATATGCCGCTGTAGTTCCTATGATTTGTCATATAAAGGTGATTAGTTGTACAAAACAGGGGTCGTACTGTTTTGTAAGAATTACATAAAACAGTGTAATTTGCTGTTGTGAATTGTTATTCCTTTTAGGTTACCAAGGGGAATTTTTTTAAAATCTGGTTTCAGGGAGGAACCATGCTCTGAAACCTGCAAAACCTGTCTCGCGGTATTTAACAGCAGGTTTGGTCACACTTAGTATCCGCTGCTCATTTTATGTACAATGCAGTATCATATATCTTTGAAACCTGGAATGGTTTTCTAAGGGAACGTTCCCATTTGTAACCATATAACATGTGTTCCTAACCAATTCAAATTTATAATAATTACATGGGGAGGGGGAGGAGTGGCATAGTGATTGGCGTACTGTG